TGGGGAAACGGCATATTTGATATTCCTTATTAACCACTTCAAGTCCGGACACTTTTACCCCCTTCCTGTCCAGGCCAATTTTCAGCTTTCAGTGCTGTCACACTTTGAATGACAATTGCGCAGTCATGCAACACTGTACCCATATGAATTTTTTAGCATTTTTTTGAGACAGATAAAACTTTACTTTGATGGTATTTATTTACCACTGGGATTTTTTTTTTTTTTTGCTATATAAATGAAAAAGTCCAAAAATTGTGAAAAAAGGTGTTTTTCTTATAAAATTTTGCAAATAAATAATCTTTCTTCATAAATCTTGGCCAAAATGTATTCAGTTATCTTTTTAGTAAAAAACTAAATAACCCAAATTAGTTTATAACCAAAAATGATATTTTTTAAAAAACTTTTCATATTTATTTTATTTTTTTTATATTATTATTATTTTTTTTTTTAACATACTGTCACCCTAGCAGTACAGTGTCACCATAGTGACACTGTACTACTTGTGGGGGGTGATGAAGATTTCTTTTTTTTTTTACACTGATTGCCTTTACACCCATAAAGGCTGTAAAAGAAATCATTTCTCCTCTCTGGCTGCATTCTTGCAGCCATTGAGAAATACTGTGTGAGCTGTGATTGGTCACAGCTTGTCACATGGTACAAGGCTGTTGTGAATCTGTGATCATTCACAGATTTCACACTTAGTAAGCAATGGTGTCAGAAGTGACATCTTGCTTACTACTATTCATGTGATTTCTAATTGGCCAATCAGTGATCACATGAACGGGACATCACACAGAGGTCCCGTATAATGATCGGTGTCCGGAGGACACAGCGGGCACTGAATCGCAGTGCTGTGCGCTCCAAGGGAGTGCGCACAAGCAGGGAAGCGGGGAGGACGTTTATAAATGGCCACTAGACCCTGAACTGCTCCCATCTCACTAGACCCTGCACTGTTCCGTCCAGATGTTTATACACATGGGCCGGACGGGAAGTGGTTACTGTTGGCCTCACAAATATCCAATAAAGCGTCTAATATCCTGGTTATTCTGGATACTTTAGCTAACTATAGGAATTTAATTGTGAGCTGACTATATGGACCACCCAGCTCAAGGCTCTGTCCTCGGGCCCCTTCTCTTCTCTATCTACACCTCCTCCCTTGGCCAACTGATACACTCCCAAGGCTTCAACTACCACCTCTATGCCGATGATACACAAATCTACCTCTCTACCCCTCACCTCACCCCTTCAGTCTCCACCCGAATCACCTGCCTACTGAACGACATATCAGACTGGATGTCACTCCACTTCCTCAAATTAAACCTTTCCAAAACCGAGCTCCTAGTTTTCCTCCCAGCCCGCCCCCCCCCCCCCCCCCCCCCCCCATCCTCTCCATCACGACCAACAACGCCACCATCAGTCCCACCCTGCAAGCCAAAATCCTAGGTGTCATCCTAGACTCCAATCTGTCCTTCCACCCCATGTTCAATCGCTGGCAAATTCATGCAGGCTCCACCTCCGCAACATCTCCAAAATATGTACGTTCCTAACCCCAGACACTACTAAACAACTCATTCACTCCTTTATTATCTCACATCTGGACTACTGCAACTCCCTCCTCACCGGCCTACCTCATCACAGACTATCTCCGCTTCAGTCTATCCTGAACTCAGCGGCCAGACTCATCCACCTTACCAACCGCTCCGTATCCGCCACCCCCCTCAGACATTCCCTCCAATGGCTTCTGATTGCCCAACGCATAGAATTCAAACTACTAACATTGACGTACAAAGCTATTCATAATACTGCCCCAAACTACATCACCGACCCTGATATCCAAATACCACCCAACAGGTACTCTTCGTTCCTCACAAGACCTCCTACTCTCTAGCTCCCTAGTCTCCTCCTCCCATGCTCGACTCCAGAACTTCTCCAGGACTTCCCCCATCCTCTGGAACTCGCTACCCCAATCCATCAGACTGTCACCTTCCCTCCTCACCTTTATGCGCACCCTGAAAACCCATCTCTTCAGGGAAGCCTACCCCACTCTCACCTAACAGCCGATCTCCTCCACTCCTCCTACCACTCCATCCCCCACAGCCACGTCCTCCTGTACTACTACCCACAACTCATGGGGCCCCCGGGCAATAGGGGATCATGGGGCCCCTGTGTCCTTGCCCACACTCAAAAAAGCCTATAAAAAAGGTATCGGGGCATTTCATGGGGCCCCCTACTGACCCCGGGCCCTCGGGCAGTGCCCTCCTAGATTGTAAGCTCCAAAGAGCATAGCCCTCGAACTCATCGTGTATTGTATTGTCACTGTATTGTCTCATGTAATGTCCCCCATTGTAATGTACAGCGCTGAGCAAACTTTTTGGCGCTATATAAATACTGTATAATAATAATAATAATAATCTGGAATAATCAGGAATGTGTGATTGTAAACCATCCTGAAAAGGTCATGTTGCTTGCAAGGGGAGTTGACCATTTCCTTATACAAGTCTTATATTACCACAGCCAGAACTTGTAAGTCTCAGTCTCATGTCAGAGCTGTATTATACCTGTGTCTGTGATCACCTATGCCACGCCATCATGGGGGGACTCTGTGGCAAAACAGCATCTTTCATTAAGTATTTTTGTTATATTTTCTTTATTGTTATCTGTATTTGTCCTTACCTAATTAAATGTTTTACTTATAAGTATTTGTGTGATCTGCACATATCAAATACAACCCCAAAAACATAACAAAACACCCTCTAATTGCCACTTTTGCTGGATAGCTTGTCTGTTAACCACTTTCCGACCGGGCTATAGCCAAAAGACAGCTACAGCGCAGTCAGCTGGTTCTGTGAGGTCATCTATGGACATCCTCCCAAGAACCCCCCCCTCGTGTACATTGGTATGATCTATGATCGTTGTGTCCTTAGGACATAGCTGATCACAGAGACAGGTAAAGGGACAATCACAGCGGCCCTTTACCACATCATCAGCTGTATCCAATCACAGTTGATCACAGTGTAAATAGACTTGCCGGTTATCGGCAGTCTTCTCCTCATGCACTGAGACAGCGTGAGGAGAAGAGAGCCAGTAACCAGCAATTCTGATGAGACACCTACACTGATAATCAGGACACTAATCATCAGAGCCCTGATTATCAGTGCAGCTCCATAAGTGCCAATCAGCGTCCATCAGTGCTGCCTATTAGTGCCCATCAGTGCTACATCTCAGTGCCTATCAGGGCTGCCTATCAGTGCCCATCAGTGCTGCATATCAGTGCAGCCTCATCAGTGCCCTTATTATAAGTGCAGCTCTGTAAGTGCCAATCAGAGCCCATCAGTGCTGCCTATTAGTGCCCATCAGTGCTACTTCTCAGCGCCTATCAGTGCCCGTCAGTGCTGCATATTAGTGCAGCCTCATCAGTGCTGCCTCATCATTGCAGCCTATCAGTGCCCATCAGTGCAGCCTCATCAGCGCACATCAGTCAAGGAGAAAAATTACTTATTTGCTAAATTTTATAACAGAAACTCAGAAACTTTTTTTTTTCTAAATGTTTGGTCTTTTTTTGTTTGTTTAGCAAAACATAAAAAACCCAGTGGTAATCAAATACCACCAAAAGAAAGCTCTATCTGTCTTTAAAAAAATGGTAAAAATATCATATGGGTACAGTGTTGACATACCAAGCAATTGTCATTCAAAATGCAACAGCACTGAGAGCTGAAATTGACCTGGGCAAGAAAGGGGTGAAAGTGCCCAGTAGGCAAGTGGTTAAAGGAAGTTGAAAAAAAAACAGACTTACTGGCAGGATCACCAGGTGTACAGAAAGGAAAAATGCCTAAACAACAAATGCAACCACCACATCTAGGAATTGAGAAGCTGTAATATACTACATTTGTGGGTTTAATATCACTTTATGGGATATCTAAACCCAAGAACAAAAATGGAATATATTGCAGCTTACCAGTCCTTAGAAGTGCTGGCTGTATTAGTCTTACTTTACAGGCTAAAAACATTTTCAGCAAGTACTGAAAATACCTATTGATCCTGCAAAAAAATTATCTCCCCATCTCCCTTGTAGTGGAGATGAGAAAATGCAGACATGTTTGTAGTCAAGCCGAGGTGACAACTATGGCAGTCTCTATTGCTACAGGGGAGGCCACCCAGGGACAGAAAGTGTGTTATTCACAGGGTCACCAGGTGAAAATAAAGTGAAAAATAACTAATGTAGATATCTATGGGCTGGTAAGCTGCAATATTGCGCAATTACTGTATGTTTCTTTGGGTTTACGCATGCTTTAAACTCCATAGCACTGAAAACAGCAGGAAGTCAACTCTAGGATTAGAGGGCGACGTGAAGATCTCACTTAACTTCAGTACACAGCGCCCTTAGCACTCTATATAGTTCTGGCTGAAACAAACTGAGTATCTTCAAAGTGAACCCATGACCCATTTTAAGCTTTGAGTCTTAAAATTCCTGCCTAAGAGCAAACACCAAAAGACACCTACTATCATGATTTATTAGCCAGCAAACCTTCCCCTAACTGCCTCTCGGAACCTAGATCCTCTTGCCTACTGGGCACTTTTACCCCCTTCCTGCCCAGGCCAATTTTCAGCTTTCAGCGCTGTCACACTTTGAATGACAATTGTGCAGTCATGCAACACTGTACCCATATGAAATTTTTATCATCTTTTTAGACAGAGCTTTCTTTTGGTGGTATTCAATCACCTCTGGGTTTTTTATTTTTGCTAAACAAACCAAAAACAACTGAAAATTTTGAAAAAAAAAGTTTTTTCTTAGTTTCTGTTATACAATTTTGTAAATAGGTGATTTTTCTCCTTCACTGATGTGTGCAAATGAGGCCGCAGTGATGGGCACTGATAGGCAGCACTAAGGGGCACTGATGAGGAGGCACTGGTAGGTGGCACTGATGGGCATTGACAGGCATCACTGATGGGCACTGAAAGGCAGCACTCGTATATGGCACTGATAGGCAGCACTTGTGGGCACTGATGCACACTGATAGGCACACTAACGACTGATAGGTGGCACTGACTTGGCAGCACTGATAGCTGCATTGACTGGCATTGATAGGTGGCAATGAAAGGCAGCTCAGATGGGCACTGATATTTGGCATGGATGTGCACTGGTAGGGCACTGAAATGTGGCATTGATATGGCACTGATGGGCACTGGCAGGTGGCATTGATGAGCACTGACAGGTAGCATTGATGGCACTTGGCAGGTGGCACTGCTGGGGCTACACTGATCATCAGGGCACACTGATCATCAGTGCCCTGATGATCGGTGTACATGTCCCCTCGAGGAATACCGATTACCGGCTCTCCTCTCCTCTCGAGCTGTCATCGTGACAGCTCGTGAGGAGAGAAATGCCGATAACCAGCAATTTCCTTATTTACATGTGATCAGCTGTGATTGGACACAGCTGATCACACGACAGAGCCAATGTCTTTGACTCTTTCCGTTGATTGGACACAGCGCACCACCGATCGCCGCGCTGCGCGCCCCCTGGGGCACGCACGCGCAGTTTGAGTGGGAGGACGTCATATGACATCCTCCCAGAAGAGAACCGACTTGCACCCGTCATTACCTTATATGGCGGACGGGAGGCGGTTAAAGCTACCCTGTTATATGCATTTCCAGGTTAATTACAGATGATTAATAAAATGATGTACTTAACCCATCTGGTTCCTATGTCCTGTGGTGATGTAGGAGACAGAAGGAGGAACCACAGTTCTTGTGTGTGCAGCACTGCTTACAGTGCTCAACTGGTGTATCCAGTGAGTGTTCATACTGACCACAGATGGTTCTGTTCAAAAACTCGGTTATACAGTTGAATGACTATATGTGACATTTCCCTCAAAACAAAAAAAAAGGTAAAAGAACACTCTTGGAGCGCTGTGATTTTTTAATTTCTAATTTATGGCCTGCCTAAGCGGAGGGAGTTAATTGGGACCCATCAGGGTTAAGCAGAGGGTTCATACACAGTTAAATGGGAATACACATTTTTTTTTTTAATTCATAGTGTTGCTTTGACTTATATATGCAGATCAATGAACACCAATTTTAATCTTCTAGGAATGAACCAAAGTAGTTACAATAAATGAAAAAACAAAAAAAAAAATAATAATATCCCCAAACCATTATAGTTTCCTTTTGGAGGGGCTGCTTGATAATGCTTGTCCCCAGTGATTGCCCTGAGCTTGCAAGCCTCCTGACACCTCTGACACTCTGGGTTTGGACATATTTTAACAGTATAGAATAAGAATACAATAATTCTTTTGTAACACTTCTGTATTAAACTTGTTCCAAAGAGTAGGCCACAAAAATAATGGGTTTAGGATATACAACTCCAGTTAACACATAAAAGCAGAATATTAGTAACATAGAAATAATCAATTAGCAATGTTTAACAGATTATACAGTCATGACTAGTAAGCTTCAACCATTTCATTGCAACATGAGGGGGAAGAAAAAACTTGTTGGCTTATCAGCTCCCCCCACACCACAGGTGCCACAATGGGGAATGCAGAGAATTATGTAAAAGGAATTGGATTACTGTGATTGAATATTGATGGTGTGGATTTCGGTAGGAGAGTGATCAGTGTCTTTATCTGCTGGATGGTGATCTTGGTTTCTGTTATTGGGATGAATATTCTACTGCTGGTCCTCCATTAATTACTCAATATCAAGGAGGATTATCTTCCACTGCTGGTTACTCACCAGTGTCTGATGAGTGTTCATTTTGATGGTGTTAGTCACTACAGGATCACAAAGATGGTGTATTGGACTGTTTAATGGAATATTATGCGGATTAGGCGAACTGAACTTAATTCACATTTATACACCACGGTGGAAGTCTTGTTCTCTTCTTCATTCTCTATCTAAATATCTGTGTATTCATGTGCCTGATGATTTGTGGGTATTTGATAAATGTCATTATAACTGAGTGCTGTTTATGAGGACGGTCATAATTACTCATACATTTTGTATAATTATGTAAAAGTATTCTGCACTATGAATAGATAGAAGTACCTCCAGCAGTGCGATCTCACATATAATATGCTTGGTCTAACCGCACTTTTTGTCCAAAGTGGATTCTGAAGATCAACTTGATGAATAATGGATCCCAATGGCTCTCTCCACAGAACACCCTTCATTGGCAGTAATCCTCATGAACAAAAAACTTAACATAGTGTTTACTCTTTAAAAAGCTTTATTTGTCACAAAAACGTCCACATATGCACTCACATGTGACAGGTGCCAGACCGCACCAAGTGTAAAAAGTATCCAATGAATATCTCCACAATCCCAAGGAATCTGTGTCTTCCAAGTCAGCTACAATCAACTACAGCGGTATATGCTCCAGCAAGATGCAAGATCATGAAAATCATATGACACAACAGCAACAAAGGGCCCTAAGGGCGCATGTACACTACAGCTGATAAACTGACGTTCAGGAGCTTTTCTGCATTTTTTTCAGCAGCCCCTGAACTCTCCCTAATGTTTTCGTATGTGTCCATGTACACATTGTCGTTTACAGTCCTTTACAGGCAGTTGAGTTTACAGTCGTTTTTTTGAACGCACCAAACTTGCGTTCAGGAGTAGATTTTATCAGTATTTCAAACGCCAAACACTTGCAAACACGTGTAACTGCGTTTATAAGTATTTGGTTTAGAAGCGTTTTATAACTGTTCCATATCCAGTTGCTGTCCAGAGCCTTTGTTCATCATCAGAAATGCATGCAAAGCATTTTCCATGTATTCAAATGGACCCGGTACACCAGTGCAGTCAGTTCCAGGTTTTGCGTGAAGGAAAAAATGGTAGAACGTGGCACATTATGCTGATGATGGATCCATAGTGAATACAACCAGAAAAGACAGGTCATCTCAACATATACTACTCTGCTTCTGCTCTATTTTTCTCAAAATCTCTGAAATAGTTAATTTTGTACTGTTTTTCAGTGCATTCTGGGCATTTTGGAAGGTGTCCTGAAGTTATCTTAAAAAAACGCTTCTAAATGCAAACACTCATAAACGTGCATAAATGCGTGGCTAAACAGACGTTTTTTAACCTACGTTTTCCAGCAGTCAGTTTCCATCATTCAGAAGAGTTTTCCAAATGTCCCATGTACATGAGCCCTGAAAGTGTTACCAGAATGCCCCATGATCTGCATAGTCCTGGAGCGATATATATACCCCTGCTGTGATAAACACTGACTTCCCGTAGCGTCATGACGTCATCCGCAAGCTCCTCCTCGAACCTATATGTGAGGTCGCACTGCTGAAGGTGAGCAGATCTGGTGGAGGAATTGTGCACTCCTTTTGTGTTTGGAGCCCCGGTGTTCATAGGAGGAAGGATATTCATTCAGAAGCATTTTTTATTGGGACTTTTCATATTATTATCACTTAGAGCAGTGGTTCTCAACCTGTGGGTCGCGACTCTTTTGGGGGTCGAACGACCCTTTCACAGGGGTCACCTAAGACCATCGGAAAACACATATTTCCAATGTGTAAAAAGCAGCTACTGTGTAGAAAGCAGCTACTGTGTTGAAAGCAGCAGTATTGGAGGTAAAACGACACTTCATGAATTATAATTACTGGGTAAATAATTTTATGGTTGGGGGTCACCACAACATGAGGAACTGTATTAAAGGGTCGCGGCATTAGGAAGGTTGAGAACCACTGACTTAGAGTATCCACTATTTTATATTTATTTATTTGTTGATGTGTAGTGCTGCACATTATTACTTTTTATGTCCTGCTTTTTTGGTGCATTTTCTGAAAGCTCACTAATAATGCAGCATGCAGGACTTTTGGCGAGCTTTCAGAAAACGCACTGAAAAAGCAAGCAAGAAGTCTATTGGAGAAGACAGAAAGGCGCTTCTAAGTGATTCCACTGTGTTTTATTAAGAAAACAGTTAAAAACACTTAAAAGATATGCAAGATCAGTGAGCTCATCAATGGTGAAGCCTGTGTGGGGTTCCTGTCACTGTGGGTCTCTCTCGTGCTGTGCCAGCCAGCAGCTGCAAGGGGAGGAGAGAACACAGGTCCACTGCCTGGTGGAATGCACGCCTCCGACGTGGAACGCATACACTGGAAGAGACATCAAAGGGGGTGGTGACGTGTTTCAGAGCATGTATGATAAGCCCCTTCATCAAGAAGTCTATTGGAAACAGCAGGTAATGCGCAGGAAAATCACGAGTACATTGTGCTGCGGCCAAACTGCAATGGGTCAATGTGAAAGTGCCTTAATTGTCAACCAGTATTGTGTAAGCCAGTGTTTTTCAACCCGGGTGCTGCAAACAGTCCTCAATGGTACCGTGGCAACATCCCAGTCTGACCGCAACCCTGTGTTAATGACCGTGCGTAGAGAGGAAAGAGAGAGCACAGGCCAGACCTCCTCCCAGCACTCTACTTCCTGCTATCTGTATTATTGTCAGCAAAAGAGTGTGCAGGGTTTGGTTACTGCCCCTCCATCTCCTCCCGACACTGCTCCTGCACAAGCAGTAGGAGGGGAATTTTAGGGGGGGGATTTGTGCTAGGAGGGTGGGTTGTTGTGCTAGGAGGGGGGATTTGTGCTAGGAAGAGGAATGTGAGGAGTTCTTCTGGGAGGGGAGGATTGGGGGGTAGAATTTGTGATAGGAGGGTAAATTTGGGGGAGACAAGTTACAATTTAGAATCACTGAACTTTGCCTCACAGACTACATTTTAGGGCTTGTTCAGACCAGATGCAGTGCAGTACCCTGTGTGAATTTGCATGTTTTCCCATACAGCACAAAAATGTGCTGCCGTTTTCAGGCGTGTGTGGGTGCCATTAATCCTTAATGACACCCACATGCATCTAGAAAATGTGCGAACATTCACGTCCATTAAAAAATGTGCTGCGCGGCTACACGCATTAAAGCACATGCACTTGGAAGCACCTCCTGGCGTGAACGAGCCCTCAGATTGATGTGCCTGAGGATTGTGTACAGTTGTAAAGGGTGCCTTGACTGAAAAACGTTGAAAAACATTGCCCTATCCCTAAAACCCCCTCCTCCCCTCTTCCGTCATATACACACTACAAGGGTTAAATGCTCATTTTGTCTAGGGGTATTGGAAAAAGCACAATTAGGGCCAAGACAAGAGGTGGGTAGGAGGGGTGAGCCCTAGGCACGGTGGGGATTTGGGGGGCTTTTGCTAAAAGGAGTGATTTGTACTAGGAAAGTAGTTTTATGTTAGGAAGGGGGATTTGGGGGGTTAGGGGGGAATTTATGCTGGTAGGGATGACTGGGGGGGATTTGCATTAGGAACAGAAATTTGAAAGGAGGATTAGTGCTAGGAGAGAGGATTTGAGGGGGGATTTGTACTGGAAGAGGGGGGATTGGAGGGGGTGGATTTATGCTCAGATGGGAAATTTGAGGGGTAGAAGATATGTGCTTGGAGGGGGGACATGGGCAGGGCTGTGGTTAAGGGGGTACAACCTGTGCTCCTGTATGGAGCCCAGGCA